TGAGTCAGTGAAGTCTCACACTGTCATATATATATATATATATATATATATATATATATATATATATATATATATAACTCAAAAGGTTAGGACAGGAACTTCAGCTACTGGACTTGAGAAACTAATTTTCATGAAATTTTCTAAATCTTTCCTTATAAGGAAATGGCTAATATTACTATTACCATTGCCATATATATATATATATATATATATATATATATATATATATATATATATATATATATATATATAGTTTTAAGGTATGCTATATTTACTGGTTAAAATGCTCAATATCAGAAATAGAGCATATGTAAAATATAAAAGTGGACATTGAAGGATAGTCTATTTCATACTAAACACAATCATAAGAGTTGACAATTGCATTTAGCATGAAACAGACTGCTGCCTCTGGGTGTTGATTTCAATGGCCACTTATATATATATATATATATATATATATATATATATATATATATATATATATATATATATATTTAGTTTTAAAAAAAATAATATTTTTGTGAAGGGAAAGAATAAAATGTGACTGAGTATTTACATACCCATCTTTGCTCTTGTTTCATCAATCTATTGTTACCTGTACTCCTGTACTAGCACTACCAAAATCATAGCATTCTTTGGTGTCATCAGTATGCGTGGGTGGTGTAATGAATAGCAACTCAGAATGAAAATTGGAGAGCTGAGTCTGAATTGCAGTCAGGCTCATTACATTCTCTTACATGCAAATACTCTTTAGGAAGGTATGAATCCATCTACTCCCCCAGATATGGGTTAAATAGTAGGACTTGTATCTAGAATAATCATTGTTATTCTCAAAAAACAATTGTTAATGCAATATTCACTTGGGAAAAAAATTATTCTTACAATCAAAATATGTTTTGGCTTTAAATAACCCACAAAGGGTTGATAAGCCATAGAAACATATCAATCAATCAATTAATTCTTGGTCTTAGCACTTGGTAATGTATTTGATCTTCACCATCATCACATGCTGACATCAGCAAGCTAGGATGTAACCAGATTTTATAAAGATTTTTCCCAGTGGTCATTGTGATTCTGTTAAGATTTCAGACGTGAGATCTTGATGGCCATGGTAACTTCTTTGTCTCTGCTGAAAACTGATTTCACAGAACAAACCAGCAAACTCTGTTGATAAATAACAACAGGTTTAATGAAAATAAATTGATAATTTAAAAGTATAAGAGTAAAAAATTATTAAACTTTCTTTATAGACTGATGATCTTTCAACAGGAAAATTATTGTAGCAGTAATTCATAATAATTTGAGAGATCTCAGTCCTGGCACTATATTCTTTTCTATCTGGGCTTGTGTTCATGTGTTCATTAGTGGCAGAAACAGCAGCAGTGAAAGGAGGAACAATTTATAACAGACCTCTGTTATCTTCTCTCACCCTACCGTCTGTCTTTCTGGTCTGGTCTGTCTCTGGCTGTCTTTTGCCCATCTTGTTTATATGAGGAAGTTTGCACACATAAGATATTCATGACCTTTGTGGAATATCCCTACATAGCTTTTCTAGTTTTACCAAGAAGTCACTGGGTTGTGCTGTCAAACCCCTATAAAAATGGGACACTCATGGTCTTCATCCTCTTCTCTCTCTTTTCCACCCAGTATTCTGTAGCAATCACATTCATGGGAATTTCTTCCCAAGCATGGGGATAATTTTCCCCTCAGTGACAGAACTTTATTCACACACACACACACACACACACACACACACACACACACACACACACACACACACATTCATGCCACAGTTCTCCTACATCAGCTATAAAATGATGCTAATGGTGTTGAACTTTCAATGCCTCTAAAACTGAATTTGTAGGCTTCAACCAGCAAGGTTCAATACAAACTGTCTCAGGTGAATCAATAAAATCTGTTGAATCTTTTACATACCTAAGAAACAAAATAAATATTGAAAAGAGGGTGAAAATTTGCATAGTTAAAGCCTGGGTCAATTTGAATAAAATGGATGTAATGTGATCTACCAGACACCTCAAGTGGAGATTCTTTTGGGCCACTGTAGGAGCAGTGTTTATGTATGGTGCCACTGCTTGGACATTAATTAAAACCTCAGAGTCTAAACTTGATGTGACCTACACTCAGATGCTGAGAACTATACTTAACATCTCTTGAAGACAACATCCAGCTAAAGCACAACTCTATGGACACATCCCTAATAATTCTACAATCTTACGCAAACACAGCATGCACTTTGCAAGACACTGCTGGTGAACAAAACAACAACTTGTGAATGATCTACTGCTCTGGATAGCTAGCTATAGAGCAAGATGGGTTGGTCACCCAACAACTACCTACAGCTATGTCATGTCACAGATTACAACCCTAATGACAAACTGACCTTGATTCAGGACTATGATAGTTGGTGTGATAGACACATGAATGTACAAGCTAGCTCAACCAAATAAAATAATCTTTCTTTTACATCCATACTAGTATATCTTCTCTCTCTTGTTACTTGGTTATATAAACACAAAAAAAATATAAAATATTGCCTTGTGGAAATTATCTTTCATTTCCTTACATCTGTCATTTACATGTGTAAAATATTTTTGCCACTACTTTTATTCTAACTAGAAGCAGTGACATGCAACACTTTCTTTTGTTCAGTAATAGATGGCCCACTTTGGAATGGGGTCAGGTCAAACACCTACTTTAAATTTTGATAACAATATGAACAGTTGGGGACTAATAGTACTTTGTATAAACATTTGGAATTTGGTAAATTTTAGAAGTCCCTAAATTTTTGTCATACTCCCTTAGAGGCAACTGGATAGAGTGGGAAAGATATAGTCTTACTAAATCTTAATGAATTCTACTTTATTTATTTCAAGTTCAAATCTTCCTAGAATCTTCTTCAAATTCATTTTATGGAATTAATCTTTTCTTTCTTTCCATATTTCTTCAGCAATTAATTACGTTTCATTGATTTTCTTCACTGTTTAATCTTAATTATTTCTTGCTTCAAACTGTCATTAGTCATTCTCATGCAATAAAACATTGAACCATAGTTTTCACCTTGTTATATCCAATCATCCAGCCTAACATTGATCTGGGGTTATCCTCCCCTTTGTTATAACTCAATAAGTAGGCAAACATGGGAATTAGAAATTCATTTAAAAAAAATAATCTTTTTTTTACAATTAACTTCAATGCTTGTACGATTACCAATGTTAAACAACATCAATCCTGGTCAATACCTAGATGGGTGACTGCTTGGAAATATCAGGCACAGTAAGCTTGGATATGCGGGTGGTGGAATGGATAATGGCTCAGAATTGAGTTACACTTCTACTCGAGTTTGTTATATTCCCTTACACGCCCTTCGGAACAGTATAAACTTTTTCTCCAGATATATGTTAATTAGTAGGGCTTATATCAGTAAATCATAAACATAGCAACAATTCTTCTTTGGAATTTGGAAAACTTTTAGAAGACAATAAATCTTTGTCATTTTATCCTGGAGGTAATTGAGTAGCTTGGGGAAGATCTAGTCTTACTGAATCTTAATAAGTTCTACTTTATTTATTTCAGTTTCAAATTTTCCTAGAGTCTTCTTCACTTACATTATGCTTTCTAATTACTATTTTTAATTTTTTCTTTCTTTCCTTATTTTCTTCAATGCTTAATTAGATTCCCTAACAGAATCACCTGTGCTATGTAGAGTTTTGCCCAATACTGCAAATTGCTACAAAACCTTAACCTGAAAACTTGAGTCATGTTCTTAGATAGCCTTATCAGATTGAGACTTTCATATGGATGTCATGCATGATCCCACATCCATTCAGAAATATCTAAACTGTCATCTATAAACAAATGTTTTCTAAGATAATGGCTTAAAAATGGCTTTGAGCAAATGAAGACTGCAGATCTTGATGAAGACCATATTTCTTCTAAACTTGTGGACTGGAGCTACATAATCAAAAACAAAGAAATGTTCCAAATAACAGAAATTGCATCATTTGAGGACTTTTCAACAACAGCAACAGCTAAAATGAATATCACATGCAACTAGAAGAGAAAATAATGACATAATTAAGATTTTGATGTTCCACACTACTTCAAATAAAAGGTTAGGAAGGAAACGCTAATCAGTGCTGGAAAGAGTGATAACAGCTAATGGACTTGAGAAACTGTTGTGGAGTAAATAACACACCCCTGGAAACACAAATGAACTAGGCAAGAGTCTTTAAATAAAGAACTCCAAGTGAGTCAAGAAGTTCCTTGGAGTCTGCTGAGGAGAATTTCTAATGACATCATAGCCTAAGCGAGACATAGTATTATAACTGTTAGAAGAAAGTTATAACAGAAACCCATTTTCCTTAAAAATTGTTTTAAGAGAAAGATTTTATAAATTTCAACTGTAAGCATCACTAGCTGCTTGGTCAAGGAATGCCAAATGTTTCTTTATAAAGAAACAGCTAATATTACCATAATACTAATTTTTCCTTTTGCTTAAGTTTTCTCTTTATCTTCAATAATGAACTTGTTGTCCACAGCAAGTAGGGAAGATCTTTAATTTTGTTGTTGGAAAAGCATTTATTTTTACATTTTCTGTACATTCAAATTTCTTTATATCCTAATCATTATGATTTCTTATTTTAAGTCTTATGAAAGAATCCTTGGGATAGGATTCAATTTCTTATTACTCTAAATGTTATTTTTGTGGATACAAGTATTTTAGTAGACATCCTGTTCTTTTTTATTTTAAACAATGCGAATGACATCTGGCCTGTGTATTCGAGAGATAAGTCTTGAATGCACAGGATAGATGTCATTAACATTGTTTCAAATAAAAAAGTACAGGGCATCTACTCAAACACTTGTATCCACAAAAATAACATTTAGATTAATAAGAAATATAGGATTTAATGGAAAGAATTAGGTGATTAAGACTTTTCCCTTGATAAATTATTGTTTTTATACTTTTTTCATTACAGGAAGCCTTGGACAACCTGATGAATTTAATTGAATTAGCAAATGAACAGTGGAAGGAACAGTCAAGAATGATTCAAGCCAAAAACATGAAGACATTATCTCAGTTTGGTTTAAACCCTTTAGATTTGTAATATGAAACAAATGAAATATAAAATCCCATGGTTTTTATTTTGGTGTATGCATAATTTAATTTTAATCTCTAGTGCCAAAGAATATGTGACTCTAAAAAAGAAATTTTAAACAATCTTATTAACCAATATCTTCTATGAACAGCAGTAAGGAACTTAACAAATTTAATCATTTCTTGTAAAAACTTTACATTTTTTTTATGACATCATTTTCTATATATTTTTCTATTGTAAATCATTGCATGTGTGATGATTTGATTCTGTAAGTCACTGCACAAGCTGTGATGACATCCAAGGTCAGCTGTACACTAATACACTGGCGTTCCCTATATTCCATGGATTCATCTTGATTATGGCCGTGAATGCCATCAACAAAGAATAATGACAAATGCTTTTCAATACACTTGTTGGGTCAAGAAATAGCAAAAAAAAAAAAACAAAAAACAATTTCTCACTTAGTTCTAGCCACTGAAAACAAAACCCTACACTGTTTCATTGACTCCTGGCCATTTCACTGACTGCCCATTATATGGATACCAGCTGGTGGATCCACCACCTCTTTCCATCCCCTTGTGTTCCGCCAACTAGAAAGGGGGACCACCCAGACAGGTTTTGGGTGGTCAGTCTTTCAAAGGATCTTACTTTTATGGCTATCTAAAAACACTAACAAAACTTTATGCTTGACAATTCAAAGGTGGGCTGGTGACAGGACTCCTGAAAAATCCTGGTCATTAAATTTACTCAAAGATGGGCTGGAGACAAGATTCCTGAGAAAGCCTGGTCATTAAATTGGCTTAAAAGGATGTGTGAGAAATCATACTGCTATACATGTAAGTTTATATGTGAATGTCCTACTATTGTGGCTTTCTACTTTAATAGCTGTAAATTATTACAAGATTCAGTAGCAGTAGCATACAGTAGATGGAAGGTGCAATGGTCCTGGGCATCCATATTGGTAGAACATCCAATCAAAGATATATTTAATTTGAATAAAGTGTTTATTTCATGTTTCTTCTGTTTTTTACATATTAAAATGTCTTCCTTTTACACATTTCTCAGTACTAGGCCCTGTGGCACCCCACCCCATCTACCACCACCACCTACTTGAGTTAGCAGCATACAATCAAGAAGTTGGGCCCAAGCATCACCACATCACGTTCAGCAGGTCTCTTAATAATAAAACTAGATGATGACAGAGACTCACAGGCATCCACGCAAGCAGTGTAATCAGATATATTAAGAGATGCCTGTTATAGACAGTGAACAAGTTAGTCTTCCAGTCCATAATTAGTGTAGCAAGTTCAGTCTTCTTTGGATGCCTTCTTATTGTGATCAGGTGTCAGACTAATCTAAATACAATAAATATCAACTAAAACTCATTGCAATTTTTAATAATGAAGCTTCTAACAAAAAATAAACTAAATCTGAAAAATGTCATTTTTTTTTTTAATTAAAAACCAAATATGAAGTTAGATTATAAATGATTACAGCAATGACTTTAAGATATTAGCCAATTAATATAGAAAACATTTAGATCAATATTCTCTTCCAAGAGATTCAATCATCATTATAGTATGATTTATCAATGTACCCAGCAATGTTTGGACTGAAAATGGAGTTGTAATCCACATACAACGCAATGTGTGCATGTGAGAGCATAACATTTTTCTTTTTTTTTTTTTGCATAGTGCACAGATATTACACTGTATTTACCTAACCACACAAGGTGTTAGAGTGTGACAGGTGGTCCATTTTACATGGTAATGTCCATAGAAAAGAGTCAAAACTGCCATGTCTCTAGTGTTACAAAGGAGTCAGAATACAACCCTTTCACTTTTATTGAAATGAAGAGAGTGCTGCTACAGGGTTGGAAACCACAGTCTGTGATGGAGAACATACTTCATACTGATCTCATTCATAAGGCTGGGCAATATGTGCTGACCCATATATAAACACGTTTTTTTATGGGTACTGTGCTAGTTAGAAAAATACCAAAAGATTTTGCCTTTAATGTACTAATTTGTAATTATGTACTAATTTATATATATATATATATATTATATATATATATATATATATATATATATATATATATTATAATTGTGCATTTGGTCAGTAATCCCTCTTTTATACAAGTTTCATTAAAAGCAACTGGCAAGGTACTGTGGTTAAGTTTCTTTTTTTTATTTAATCTTTTTTGTGTTATAATTTTTTTCTTTTCTGGACATAAACTATTTAGAAATTGTCCAAATATTCTGTATGTCCAAGCACTTTTGGCTATTCTTTTAGCCATTATCAAGGATGATTTTATTTTTTTTACTTTTAACTGAATGTATGGATTTCTTATGTATGTATCTAGAATTATAGGATTGTTTTTATTTTCCAAACACAGCCAGCATATTGTGGCCATGTTCATAATTGATATTATTGAGTGTTGGATTTTTCTTTTTTATTAATAATGCTTCCATTATTTTTAGCCTTTTTTTTACATGTGGATGAAGCTATTATATTTGTATTGTCTATGACAGGTGTGTCAAACTGGCAGCCTGTGGGTCACATGTAGCCTTTTACATGCATCTTGGTGGCCCTCACAAAGGTTTCTATAACCATGGTATATCAAGAATTTTTTCCGTATTTGGTAATGCAAATTATTAAAAACAGATTTTTTTTTAATTGGTATGATTAAATTGTTTATTTTATCTCAATGGTTTTTTGTTTTTGAATGTCAGCAACTATTTTTAACTTCCAGTTAATCGAGTGATCATCCTTGACAAATGTAAAGTGAAAACGTTCATAATTTTGGAATATTTTACCTTAAAAATGTTAAATTCTACTCCATCTTGTAGAAAGAGAAAATTATCTTAAGTGGGAATTACAGTACTTTTGTACCACTGTTAATGGAATATAAAATATCACCTGAAAAGACATTATGAAACAAACCATTGATCTTATGATAAATATGAAGGAGATATGTGTGTATCAAAAGTGAAGGAATTCAAGGTTAAGTTAACACAGCAACAGAGTTGCTTTACAAAAATTCAGAAAGGCAATGTTAGTTCTGTTACTGCAAGCTTTGAAATCTGCAAAATGATCACCATTAGTGGAAAATCTTACAGTGAAGGAGATTTCATAAAGCGATGTCTTGTAAAACCAGCTGAAATTGTATGTCCAGAGAAGTCACACTTATTTCAAGATATTTCATTAAGCAGTAACATTGTTGCTGAATGGATTGATGAAATAGCAGGTGATTTAAGTCGACAATTGAAGACTTTATCATCAAGTTTTGAACATTTTCCTATTGCTCTGGATGAGACTGTTGACATAGCTGCAATAGAACAGCTCATCATTTTTATCAGGGCTTTTGACAATGAATTTCAAATTTATGAAAAACTAATTGAACTAGTCCCAATGCATGATACTACAACAAGCCAGGACATTTTTGAGAAACAGATTCTCCATGAGTATGGCCTTGATTTGAGTAAACTTGTGTGTTTATCTACTGATGGTTCTGCCAATATGGTTGGGAGACATAATGGTGTTGCTGCCAAGTTAGGTACAAAAATAGAAAACATATATCCTGATTCAACATTCAAGCATTTTCACTGTATAATTCATCAACAGAACTTATGTTCTAAAATTTTTTAAATTAGATCATGTGTTGAGTTTTGTCACAAAAAACAGTGAACTATATCAGAGGTCGGGCTCTGCATCACCATCAGTTTAGCCAGTAATTGGAAGATGTGAATAATCAGTTCACAAATGTCCCACTCCATAGAAATTCAGTGGATTTCATGTCACAAGGTACTGAAAAGATTTTTTTTATTGCAATACAAAATTGTTATGTTTTTGGAGATGAATTGAGAGATGAAAGCTGGCTCCAAGATCTAGCTTTTTCAGTGGATATTATGGCCCAATTAAGTGACCTTAATTTGAAATTACAAGGTAAAAATAAGCTCATCACTCAGTTATATGATGATATCAGGTGTTTCATTGCAAAATTAGCTTTATTGAAGTCACAGTTGTCACATGAAAAGTTGATTCATTTTCCTATGTGCAAGGAGTCAAAAAAAAAAAAACTGCCAATACTGAGTCTGTATTTATCTTTGTTAAGTACAACAATTACCTGGAATTGCTGTCAAAAGAATTTCAGCGAAGATTTTGTGATTTTTCACCTTGTGAAGATCAGTTTGCATTATTCTCAGCACCATTCACTTTTGATCTTGCTCAGGCAGAGGAAAGTCTCCAGATGGAACTACTGGAAATGCAGACTGACTCAACACTCAAGGGAAAGTGCCTAGAAGTAGGAGTACCCAAATTTTTTCATACCTTCCTCAGACATTTAAGAACTTCAAAAAGTTTGCCACAAAGATTATGGCGATGTTTGGTTCCACATGTCTGTGAGCAGTTATTTTCATTTATGAAGGCCACAAAAATGACTCACAGAACCAGATTAACTGATGAAAATTTTTCATCTTTGATCAAAGTGGGATCTATACAGACATTCCAACCTGATATATTGAAAATAGTTTGTCTATAGCAATGTCAATCATCAGGACAATATAAAAATGATTAAATTGTATTAACTTGTATTGTAAGTATTTTGTATTTAAAGTTTAGTTACCACTTGCAGTGATTAATATAAGACCGTAAGTAGGTGTGGCCCTCAAGGCTGAAGATATGGCCAATGTGACCCTCCATATGCCCTAAGTTTGACATACCTGGTCTATGACTATAAAGAATAAGAAAAAAGAGAAATATTAAGGAGTGAGAACAATAAAAGAAGAGGAATCAAAAAGACAGGAGATAACAATTAACATTGCATTTAAATTTTTGAAGATCAAAGTTTGCTAGAAAGTATGGAGCTGGAAGAAAGTTCTATAAGTAAGAAATGCAAGAAAAGAAACTGTTACCATAGAACATGTAGCCATTTCAACTGTAAATTGGTGGGACCTTTGTGCCAATCTAGTACTGCACTCAAATTCATAAAGTTTAGGTACTATATT